ACAACAATACTCAAGGCCTCACTAGGCATAACCAGGTAGGGTGCAAAATAGGACGACACATATGAATACGTAAATCCAGGGTCAAATAGCACTGAAGCATCTCTATCACAGACCAAAATAGTACCTGTAATAACAACATCGGATGACTCAGCCTATGGCCTGGCTGGCAAGGCATAACATTGGGGCTGGGCCCCACCTTCCTGAATCACATCCCTGGGACGATCGACTGCTGGCTGACCCCTACCTCTGGCGGTCTGAGCTCCACCTCCATGACGTTTACCTCCACCTCTATGTCCTCTACCCCCGCCTCTAGCTGGCTGGGCAGGCTGTGGAGCAACTGGCGCTTGAATCATAGGACGAGGACCCTGCTGCTGAGAACTACCCGAAGCTCGAGGGCAAAACCTGGCAATGTGACCCATATCACCACAAGTGTAACAAGCCCTCGGCTGCTGAGACTGCTGACCCTGTCGCCCTGAATGACCACCTCAGAAACTCTGAAGCAGCGATGTACTGATGGGAGCTGGTGGTGCACTGAAGGACTGCTGATCCAAATAATGCGTCTGAGAACCATGACCACCTGAGATACCATGTGATACCTGGAGAGCTGACTGAAAGGGCCTAGAAGGATGGCCTCTACCATACGAATATCTACCTCCAGACGAGGTACCACTAAATCTGCCTGAATGATGGAGCCTCTTATCCGACCCATGACCACCTCCCTATGACAGAACCATCTCAACTCTGCGGGCTACATTGGCCGCCTCCTGAAATGTGATCTCGCTCCCGGCCTCCTTGGCCATCTAAAGACGAATCAGCAGAATAAGACCATCAATAAACCTTCTCACCCTCTCTCTCTCGGTGGAAAGTATGATGAGAGCATGGCGAGCTAAATCGATGAACCTGGTCTCACACTGGGTAACAGTCATAAAACCTTGCTGGAGGCGCTCAAACTGCCTACGATAGGCCTCTCTCTGAGTAACAGGGAGAAACTTCTCTAGAAACAATACTGTAAACTGCTCCCAAGTCAAAGATGGCGATCCATCTGGTCTCGCTAAGCAATAATCCCTCCACCAAGTCTTGGCGGATCCAGACAAGCGAAATGTAGCAAAATCAACCCCATTGGTCTCAACAATACCCATGTTTCCGAGAACCTCGTGGCAGTTGTCTTGATAATCTTGGGGATCCTCAGTAGATGCACCAGCAAAAGTAGAAGTGAAAAGCTTGGTGAACCTATCCAGTCTCCACAAAGCATCGGCGGACATAGCCGCTCCATCGCCGGTCTGAGCTATGGCACCTGGCTAAACTACCCCAACTGGCTAAACTGCTAGAGTCTGAATCTGGGGAGCTACCTGCTCTGGAGTGCGTGTAGTAGGAGTCTGAGCCCCTCCTCCAGCCTGAGAAGTGGCTGGTGCTACAGGAAGAAAACCTGTTCGGGTGACTCTCTCCATAAGGTCCACCAATCAAACCAGGGCATCCTGAAGAACTAGGGCGGCAATGAAACACTCTGGGACCTGAGCTGGGCCCACCGGAGCTGCTGGAGCTGGAACCTCCTCATCATAATCCATATGAGGCTCCACCTCTGGAACTGCTGCTCGGGGCTGAGCTCTGCCCCTGCCTTGACCTCTGGCACGGCCTCGGCCTCGCCCTCTGCCCCTAATAGGAGCTGTTGCTGGGGGCTCGGGCTGCTACGCGATCGATGAGGAAGCGAGTGTCCTCGCCATCTGCGAAGGAACGAAGTAGAAATTCAATCAATATTGGGGAAACGGAACCGCACGACAAGAAAGAATAGATGTGAAGTTTTCCTAACTCAGTATCCTCTGCGGGATAAATACAGACGTCTCCGTACCGATCCCTCAGACTCTACCGAGCTTGTCCGTGAGTTGTGAGACCTAAGTAACCTAATTCTCTGATACCAACTTGTCACAACCCGGATTTCCCACCCTCGGGGTCGTGATGGCACCTACTAATAGGAGCTAGGTAAGCCAACTTAAATTACCTTTCGTTTAACACACATTCTTTTCCATAATTATCAACATGTAATAAAGGCAACATAATTAAAAATTTCAAGCGGAAGTCTTAACTTATATAAAAACTGAATAGAAATGCAAAAAGTTTAACATAATCCTCTACCCAAGATTGGTGTCACAATGCTCACGAACTTCTAAGATTTACTAAATACAATCGTCTGAAAGAAAATTTTAAACTGTTTGTTTCTGTACAAAAGATAACAAACTGAATAAAGAGAGAGAGACTCCGGGCCTGCGGGCGTCAGCAAGGATACCTCGGTGTCTCTGGACTGAAGTCAGCTCCCGATCAAATCCTACTGCTGAGGTCCAAAAGCTACTCCTGGATCTGTGCAAAAAGATGCACAAGTGTAGCATCAGCACAACCGACCCCATGTGCTGGTAAGTGCCTGGTCTAACCCCGGCGAAGTAGTGTAGACAGGACCTACCAAAAACAACCTGTGTAGATATATATGCAATAAAAGGAAATATACAGAATTTAAACAGCTAAGGGGGGGGGGGATCATGCTATGGGGAGCTAACAGTTTCAAATAGAAATCCTCAATAACAGAAAGAAGTAACAAAGCCAGAATGTCAACAAGAATCAAAAGTCAACAATTTGCACGGCATCACCCTTCGTGCTTTTACTCTCGTCCTCACCAAAACAATACACAACATCACCCTTCGTGCTTTACGCTCTTCCTCACCCAAACAACAATCACAAGGCAAATAGGGTAAAGAAATCTATAACCTCGAAGTTAATCAAATAAGAACAAGTAATGAAAGAAACAACATAACTCGGATATCAACAAAGAATCAGAAAGCAACAAATACACGGCATCACCCTTCGTGCTTTACGCTCTCGTCCTCACCAAAGCAATCATATAAATGAAATATGCACGGCATCACCCTTCGTTCTTTTACTCTCTTTCATCACCATATAATCAATAAAATCGGCACGGAATGGTACATCGTGCGGCACGACATCACCCTTCGTGCTTTACACTCTTTCCTCACAATAGCAAACAATGCACGACATCACCCTTCGTGCTTTATCACTCTTCCTCACCCAAGCAACAATCACAAACAAGGGGCAAGGGAGTAGACAAATAATGATAGAAATCCCGGCAAGGGAATACAAATAAACAGCTAACTCCCGGCAAGGGAGCACAATTAAGCAGTTAAAAACCCGGCAAGGGAACAATATCAATAATCTCAGCATCCCGGCAAGGGAGATAGTCAACAAAGCAACAAGCATCTCGGCAAGGGAGCAATTCAATAATTCTTTCTCTTTCTTTCACTTTTACCTCTTATCTCACTTTACCAACTGAGCCAACGCTCCAAAGGGGTTCAATCATTTCATATACTTTCACGCTTTATGATATACTCGAGCCAATGCTCCAAGAATGTACAAATCATAATTCATCCTCAAACTTTTCATTTATATGAAATTTATCAATTTAACAAGGAAGATGTATCACTAAATCCGAATAAACACAAATAAGACTCACAATCATGCTAGACTCCGGTGTATAGATACTCGTCACCATGCCTATACACCGTACTCAACAATTAGCAAATAGCAAACAACACTCTAATCCTATTCCCTCAAGCCAAAGTTAGAACAAACACTTACCTCGGTCCAAAGAATAGCAATCAACCCTCAAATACCGCCTTTCCTTTATAATCCGACTCCGAAACAACGATATCTAGGCATAATTAATTCAATAATATCAATAAAGACTCGATAACAAAATCCCATAGCTTAGATATGAAGTTCCTAGAATTCTTCCAAAAATACCAAAATTCGACCCTGGGCCCACATGGTCCAAACACGAGGCTCGGACCAAAACCCGATTACCCATAACCCCACGAGTTAAAATATATAATTTATTTTAAGATCCGACCCCAAATTGAGGTTGAATCACTCAAAATTCCCAAAAACCTAACTCTACCCAAAACCCCAAATTTCTACTCTAAATTACATGTTTTAGCCAAGAAATTCAATAGACGTTGATGAAAATGGAAGAGAATAAGTTAAAGATTACTAACCCAAGAGTTTATGGTGAAAGAATGCTTCAATGGATGCCTAAGGACCTTGGAGAAGAAATAGTTCGTGTGTTTTTATGAAAATCCCGTAACTACACTGTTCTGGAATTAAAATTTAACTGGGCGAATTTGGCCTATACGATCGCAGAAAACGAAGTGCGATTGCATAGAGTAAATGGGACAGGGCTCTGCGATCTCAAATGACACTATGCGATCGCATAGAGGAAATAGTGAAGGCTCGCTAACACACTACGATCACAGAGGAAATAATGCGATCGCGTAGAGCAAAATATAGGACCTCTCAGGCTAACACTATGCGATCGCGGGAGGAACTATGCGATCGCATAGAACAAACTAAAACCCTGAAAATTTACACTATACGATCGCGGACATAGCTATGCGATCGCATAGGACAAAACACTGGACACCAGCAGACAGCAGTTCTGCAATTTTTCTAAGTCTAAAATCATTCCGAAACACATCCGAAACACACCCGAGCCCTTGGGGCTCCTAACCAAACACATGCACTAACTCAACAATATCATACGAACTTATCCGTGCGATCAAATTGCCTAAATAACTTCAAAAACAATGAATCAAACCTCAAAATCAAGAGATTTTCTCAAACTTCATCAAGTTTCAAATTTAGGAATTCAAGCCCGAATCACGTCAAACGACGTCCGATTTCAACCAAATTTCACAGAAAGCGCTTAAACCATATATAAGACCTGTACAGTGCGCCGGAACTAAAATACGGGCCCGATACCAATGCTTTCTAATTCATTTTTATTTCAAATTTTCATATTAAATTTCAAAAATAATTTCTTTTAAAAATTTATTTCTCGGGATCGGGACCTCAGATTTCGATTTCGGGCATACGCCCGAGTCCCTTATTTTTCTACGGACCCTCTAGGACTGTCAAATCACGTCCGGGTCCGTTTACCCAAAATGTAGACCAAAGTCAACTTTAACCATTTTAAAGCCACAATTTATCATAATTTCACATAATTTAACACATAAGCTTTTCCGGCTACGCGCCCAGACTGCGCACACAAATCGAGGCAACTAAAGGTGAGATTTTCAAGGCCTCAGAAGCATGAAAAAGGGAGAAAATCGATGATGACCCTTTGGGTCATCACACAAAGTTAGCAACATCTTTCTTCATACCTTCCCACCAATAGAATTGCTTTAGGTCATGATACATTTTTGTGGATCCAGGATGTATAGTATATCTAGTGTTGTGAGCTTCTTTAAGAATAGAATGCCTCAACCCATCTACGTCTGCGACACATAGCGTATCACCCATTCGAAGAACACCATCACTGTCAACAATCATATCCTTACTTTTACCAGCTAAGGCCTCATCTCTGTATTTGCAAAATCGCTCATCCTCATATTGGGTGGCCTTAATACGCTTAACTAATGAATACTTAGCCTGAGCATAGTCCAACAATGCCTCTGAATTTCCGACACTAAATCTGATACCTGCATCTTCTAGTCTCTGATTGGCCAAAAGTCTCTTTGCAGGAGCTACATGTGCCAAACTCCCCATAGATTTTCTGCTTAATACATCAGCCACCACATTCGCTTTTCCAGGATGATACAAAATAAAACAATCATAGTCTTTGAGTAGTTCCATCCAACAACGCTGTCAAAGATTTAGATCTCTCTGCTGAAAGATATACTTCAGACTTTTATGGTCAGTATAAATCTCACATGTTTCGCCGTATAGATAATGTCTCCAAATTTTTAGAGCAAATACCACTACAGCCATCTCCAGATCATGTGTAGGATAGTTTTGCTCGTGCTTTTGTAATTGTCTTGAAGCATAAGCTATAACACGACCATTTTGCATGAGAACACATCCTAATCCCACCTTTGAGGCGTCACAGAATACTGTAAATCCTCCAGAACCTAATGGTAAGGCTAATACTGGTGCAGTTGTCAAACATGTTTTGAGTTTCTGAAAGCTTTGCTTACATTCCTCTGTCCATTGAAACTTTGCATTTTTCTGTGTTAGCTTGGTCAGTGGCGCTACTATTCTGGAGAAATCCTGCACAAAATGCATGTAATAGCCTGCTAAGCCTAAAAAGCTGCAAATCTCTGTAGTAGAAGTAGGCCTGGGCCATTTCTGCATAGCTTCTATCTTCGTAGGATCTACCATACTTCCATATTTGGAAACAACATGCCCCAAAAATGATACCAAGTCTAGCCAAAATTCGCACTTCGAGAACTTAGCATAAAACCGATGTTCTCACAATGTCTGCAACACAGTCCCGAGATGATCCTCGTGTTCTCCTTGGCTACGAGAATATATCAGGATATCATCAATAAATACTATTACAAATCTATCCAGAAATGGCTTGAACACCCTATTCATTAAATCCATGAATGCCGCTGAAGCATTAGTCAGTCCGAAATGCATCACAAGAAACTCATAGTGCCCATATCGAGTTCTAAAAGCAGTCTTAGAAATATCTTCATCTTTGATTCTAAGTTGATGATAACCAGAACGGAGGTCAATATTTGAAAAGTGGACAGCTCCTTGTAACTAATCAAACATGTCATATATACGAGGCAAAAGATATTTATTGCGTATTGTTATCTTTTTCAACTGCCTGTAGTCAATGCACATTCTCAGGGATCCGTCTTTATTCTTTACGAACAGTACTGGTACACCCCCTGGTGATACACTAGGTCTAATAGAACCCTTATCTAACAAATCTTGTAACTGTTGCTTTAGCTCCCCCAACTCTGCTGCTGCCATTCGATATGGGGGTATCGATATGGGTTGTGTGTCAGGTAGCAAATCAATACCAAAGTCTATTTCTGGTACTGGAGGCAATCCTGGTAAATCCTCAGGAAATACCTCAGAAAATTCTCTCATTACTGGTACATTTTCTATACTAACTATTTCCTTTCTTGTGTCATTTATAATAGCTAAGAGACCCAAGTAACCTTTCTTCAGAAGTCGTTGAGCCTTCATAAAAGGTACAATTTTGCAAGTCTTTGGAACCTGACTCCCTCTTAGAATAAAACTGGGTTCATTTGGTATCTCAAACTTAACTATCTTTGCATGACAATCGACTATAGCATAGCAAGTAAATAACCAATCCATTCCCATAAGCATGTCAAAGTCAATCATATCAAGTATAATAAGGTCAGTTAGAGTATCTATACCCTCAACCCAAATCTGACAAGCACGATACACATATTTAGCTAATAGAGACTCTCCAACAGGAGTAGCAACTAGAAAAGGATCATTCAATAGCTCGGGCTGTCTACTAAATCTCAAAGAAAAGTACGAGGACACATAGGAGTGAGTATATCCTGGATCAATCAACGCAAGTGCATCAAATGAACAGACAGAAAGAATACCTGTAACCACTGCATTCGAGGCCTGAGCATCTTGTCTAGTAAACGCAAAAACTCTCGCCTGACCTCTACCAGCATTGCCTTGTCCTTGATTCATAGTAGCACGGTCTCCAGCACCTCGACCTCTATTTACTGTACCGGTAGCACCTGAAGTATTACGAGTAGTCTGAGTCGGTGCAGCTGACTGAATAGAAGCCTGGTTGAAATTTCTCGAAGGTTGAGGGAAATCCCTCAAGTGATGTCCCAACTGGCCGCACCGAAAGCACTCTCCAGTTAGAACACGATATTGGCCCAAATATGATCTACCTCAAGTCTGGCAGACTGGAGTAGTGATATATATCTTCCCAGAATTACGATGTCCAGAAGATGATGGTCCCCTATTACCTTGTCTGTAATGTGGTATGCGTGTGGACTGTGAAGACATGTGTGTCCCTGTCTGAGAACCCTGTTGTTGTTGTTGTCCCTGATTTCTTGCTCTTCTATTTTCACTAAAACTACCACTAAAAGCCCCTCCTGTCTTGGCCTTCTTATGTAAATCACTAGTTGCACGCTCATCACTCCCTTGTTTTCAATCTTCTAGCAATATAGACTATATCAGAGTAGGATAAAGTCTTCATCTGGGGGGCTACTGCAGTGTATAGATGACCAACCAATCCATCAATAAACCTCTGAACTCGAGCTTCTTCGGTAGGCACTAAGTAAGGAGCATGTATAGCCATCTTACAAAACTTAGTATTATATGTTGACACATCCATATCTGGAGTCTGAACCAATCTCTCAAAGTCTCTAGCATATTTTTGCATCAGGATGTCTGGAAGAAAATGATTCTTGAACAACTTGGTGAACTCGTCTCATGTCAGCGGTGGTGCTCATGCTGGCCTTCCTAGCAATACCGTTTCATAGCATGTGTTGGCCATATCCTTTAGTTTGTATGCTTTGAGCTCCATGACTTTCTCATTAGAACATCCAAGAGCATGTAATGCCTTAAGTGTCCAATCCAAGAAACTTTGAGGATCTGCTGAATTATTGGAATCTGTGAATTTTGTTGATTTCAATTTTCAGAAACTCTTGTAGGGATACTTCCTTATTCCCGAAAGTCCGAGTCTGTGCAGGTGCTTGTGTCTGTAAAGTAGCCTGAGGAGCTGAACTTCCTCCCTGAGTAGGCACAAATGCCTCTAACACATTCAATAACCTTGCCATTGCGTCCACAGGTAAGGCAACAATAGGTAAAACAGTTGGCACTAGTGGTGGAACGTCCTAAACTCCCTGCCTTTGCACTTGATTTGGCATAATAGCTTGGGTTTGACCCATGTTTCCAACTTCAGGTTGAGGAATAGTCTGTCTTCTAGTTTGATGAACCCCAACTTGACCGTCACCCGGGGTAGCACCATGTCCATCACCACGTCCAGCAGATGAGGGTATGCGTGTCCTAGCCATCTGCGAAAGAAATACTCCAAAGTTAATATCAAGTTATCTCAAGGCACAATCAAAGAATGAAAGAAGGGAAAACATTCCTAGATGTTCAGTAGCCTCAAGATCATAAGTACAGGCGCCTACATAACCATGAACAAGACTCTACTAAATATTGCTCCATGACTCGGGACTTAAAGCCTACGCTCTGATACCAACTTTTCCACGACCCAAATTAGGTCCGTGACCGGCGCTCAGGAGCTAGTGCTCCCAAGTAAGCCTTATCGGAAATTTTACAGAAAATCAGACAGAGTTTCTCCTGTTTTTGGACCATCCCAAAAATTTTTCTATCTCAAATCAGCAATCAAATGTCCTAATAGCAATACAAATGATGACTTTATCAAATAACCAAAATAAATATCTACCTTTAACAGTCCACCCACTAACAACAAGAAATACTACTATATCTCCAAATTTTTATAGGAATGAGAGTTACTCAACATAAGTCTATAATAATAAAGACTACTCAAGACACTAAAAGAATGACCATGGAGCGACTCTAAGAGTTCAAAGAAAACCATAAAAATTAATAAAATCTCTGCCCACGCGAACAAGTGCGAGACTCACCAAGAACTATCAATCTGTGCGCTTTAATTAACGAAATCCTCGCCTGCGTCAGCTGCTGCCTCTGTTAAAAAAATTTAGCGGGGAATTAGTCGCTAGATCAGTGAGTAATAACACTTAACCACAATCGTTTTTATTGAGGACAAGTCAGAAAACATGCTAGTATATTAAATAGAAAATAACATAAGAATGCCCTTTCAGAAATAATAAATAATTTTCAGTCTCATCATGTTTTTCTTGTAGTATAATATACTTGACAATTCTGTAATAAGCTCGGTAACCACTATATAATATCAATATCCATATTTTGGGAGGTTTCAATGAACGGATCATGTAATCGGTATAACTGTGGACTTCTTCGCAAGAAGTCATATATAATGGTAGTCCCTACTCGAGGGAAATCGGTAACGGTATGCTAGTTCTACCTTTCCACTAGCGAGGGTTATAACAGTAATCAATAATTACAAGGTGCACCAGGTCTAAGGAACCCGTCGTTAGCTACGGGATCCTTCAATGTCTACTCCTATTTATAGTTGTCTCTATAATCCATATATACTCATAGAAAATATTTTAAAACAATATAGGGCATTTCAGTTCTTATCAAATCACATAATTTCTTTTTGATAACAGTAAATTCAAGTAACGGTAAAACAGATCTAGTGACAACAAAAATATTTAAAACAACGGTAATCTTCTCAAATAACTATTTCGGTATCATATCGAGTAAAAGACTTGTCCCACATGCAACTCAAAATAATCGGTAACATATTCATATTAAATATCATGTCTAAATCATGCAAGTTATGAAAACACAAATTGCGGTAAGATTACTACTCACAGTACTCGTGCCGANTTCTTGAGTCGAAGGAGAACTTTAATATTGTCAATTTCAACTCCCAGTTCTTCTTAAGGCCTTTGCCCAAAGCTTTCTTCTTCTTCTCTTTTCTTTTTTTTTCTTCTCTTTCTTTTTCTCTGGTTTCGTTTATTTTTCATTTTCCTACAGAAGCCTTGGCTTCTTTTGTTTTGCTAACCCGTGCCAAACCTTGGCAGGTTATTTTTCTAATGGGCTTCGGCCCTTTTTTTTGTTTCTTTCCTTTCCCTTTTCTATTTTGTTTCATTGTTTTTTTTCATAGTTAGCTTCTTCTTCTTCTTCTTCTTCTTCTTCTTCTTCTTCTTCTTCTTCTTCTTCTTCTTCTTCTTCTTATTATTATTATTATTATTATTATTATTATTATTATTATTATTATTATTATTATTATTATTATTCTAATAACCAATACACCATTATTAAAAAATATAGGGTATTACAATAAAATTAAATAAAAATTGTATTTGTGTAATAAGGAATAGTGTCAAGAACAAAGAAGTGGTTGAATCTGAAGCCATTTTCATCTATTTTCTTATAAAATTGAAACTGCTTTTGTAAACTTTTAAAAGGGTATATTGGTACTGATTTTTGACATGTTTATTTATAGAGAAAATATGAAGATGTGAACAGACTAATTTTAAGTGTGAAATTGAGGCGTTGCAATGAAGAGTATGTTAATAAAATTAGGCCTTTTCGGTATATATAATTAGTTGTATGAAATTTGTGTTTACTATGTATAAATTAGATACAAAATATACAAAAGATATATTATATAAAATTTATATAAAAATTATATTTAAGTGGTATGATATTGTAACTGTATATAACTGGGTAGAAGGCGGAGTGCACCATCACAAGGAGGGAGATGAGAAGAAGAAGAAAAAGGA